CCTTCATTTTCTGAAGAAGGGTCTAGGCCCGAAACATCAGCTTTCCTGCTCCTCTGATGCTGCTTGGCCTGCTGTGTTCATCCAGCTCTACACCTTGTTATCTCAGATTCTCCAGCATCTGCAGTTTCTACTATCTCTGAAAATATTAAATATAGGTTGTAGACCGGTTGATAATGTAGTGGTGGAAGTGTATTGATTTTCCTAAATAGATTTTATATGTGCATGCTATGTTGCAATTTAGATAAGTTAACTATTTTGTGTTTTGGTTATGTAGTACCTAGGTACTTACATAAAGATCCTTGAAAGCCTGAGGCTGGTGACCATGAGGTTAAACTCTCCATCAGTCATTTCTGTCTCTGATGAGAGAGCAGCCCTATGGTCCTTTGGGTCTATGGCAACTACAACATACATATCAATTCCTTTCTTGCACTCCAGCTCTCTTTAATGAGAACATTTGTGACTTAGTCCAAAAGTTATTCCTTTCTGGTTTTAGCTTTGTTTGGCCTTTCATTTTTCTTTCTTGGATTCACTTTAGCATTTTGTGACTTTGTATTTTCTGTTCTGGCCATGCACTATTTCCTTCTGCACTAACCAATACTTTATCTTTATTCCAATACACATTACAAATGGAAAATTAAGGTTATTCAATGTTTTAATTTGGAAAATGCTTCACAAGTCCTAATATTATGCTTTTTTGATGTCTGAGTGAGTTTATCAGTGAACACTTAACATATTAGACCAGAACTTCAATGGTTTGAATGCTAGTCAGGGTAAAATTGCTGGAGGGCCGTCAAATTCCTGTTTCTGGATTAGGGAGGGAGAAACTCCATGTTCTCTTTCCCTAGTTTTTGCAGTTTCATTTACTTAAAGAACTTTATTACATGTTTTTCTTTGATATGACATGGACACACCAAGTTGACATTTGTTGTAGACCAGCATATTCAATATAGGAAATTAGCTTGATTAAATAGAATTAGAACAGTTAATCATTTTTCTATCTGCAAGAGAAATAGATAATAGTTTGAAAGTACTTTAGTACCAAGTGCGTTACCACTGCATGTGTCCCACTGTACTTGCTTCCACTGCTTTACTTTTTACTTGTTCCTAGAGTTTAAGTACAGACCTGGATAACCTGTTTATTAACCAAGCACTTAAATGGTATCAAGTACACAGATTTCTTTCAGAGTTACTCCCAAAACGTCTGTTGCTGTTAAATGCAGAATTCCTCAAGAAATTGTCTGGGGTAGACCTTAGGAACTTATTGCCATGCAACTCAATAGCATTCACAAAGCTTGAATGTTCAGAAGCATCACTGTTGAGACAAACATTTCTGGAACATATTCAGTTGGAATTCCATCTGAAAGAGATTGCATGGTAAGAAGAGCCCATGAAAAAACACTGAAGCATTGTCCTCTATGATTCCAGTGCATGGCTCAAGTCCCGCTGGTGAAAAATGTTAGTTGCCTGACAATTTCTGAAGTGATTATGAAATCTTTGATATTACTTTTAGTGCCAAATCAATGGTCAACAATCGTATCAAATCTTAAGAGTTCCTTCCACCACAATCAGATTTATTTTATAATTATATATACATATATAAAATTACTTTTGCATTTGGATGGTTTTTCTGATTGCCCAGTTGTAATTCCTAAATATATCATTTTCCATTTAGATGGTTTGTCTGATTGTCCAGTTGTAATTCCTAATCCAGTTCCAGCATCTTCATTTAAGATACAAGGGAACTCCTCCTGGATCTGTATTAAATGGGAAAGTGTAAGAAGTGTGAATTATGGCATGGTGTATTATAGGTTTGAATCGCAAGCCCTTTTGAAAATTCAGGTACTTTGCTTCTTTTTTGTTAAATTATTTTTTGTTGATGTAAACATTCCCTGCCATGCATACCGTGTTAACATAGTCTAAATGTTATTTACAACTTAAGAATATCATTTAAACCAAAAGAATATTGAGTAACAGTGTTTGATTTTTAGAAATGAGATGTCGAGACAAAGTTTTTTTAAAAACAAGTATAGTTTCACACATGATGTTTCATTTTGACATTAACTTCTTCAATTTTGGTAGCAAACTTTTAAATGTGACATTAACAGAATATACTACGCAGAAACAACAAGCCATTCAACTCTACCAATAAAAACCTGTATTTACAAACCCAAATGTTAACAACACCCATCTTAACTTGTCTACTGCTGCCTGTGGTACCATGACTGTCTGACATTACGTTGTTTGTGATCCAGAACTTCATGCAGCACAATATTGGCAACACCCTGTCCTGTTCCAGCACTGCCAAAAACTCAATAGCCAGAACCATTCAATTCCCAGACATGGGAAATCTGGACCTAAGTTTGTATTGTGTGTTGGAACCCTGCAAAAGACCTGACATGTGAACGCGAACTGCAACTGTTTAGAAAATTTAATCTCTTAATGATTTGTATGACCTGGACACTTTGCAAAAGTCTTGGATAATAGCTCAGTATTAAGGGGATTCGTGTCAGAAATTCAGATCTTTACTGGATAGTAACCCAGAAAATATTACACTGGTTAATATAAAGTCATAGAATCATAGACATATACAGCATGGAAACAGACCCTTTAGTCTAGCTCGTCCATGCCGACCAGATATTCTATATAAATCCAAATCCATTTGTCAGCATTTGGCCCATATCCCTGTGAACACTTCCTATTCATATGCCTGTTAAATGTTGTAAACGTACCAGTCTCCACCACTTCCTCTGGCGGCTCTTTCCATACATGCACCACCTTCTGCTTGAAAATGTTTCCACTTAGGTCCCTTTTATATCTTTCCCCTCTCATCTTAAACCTATGCCCTCTAGTTTTGGACTCCTCACTCAGCGGGAACAAGAACCTTTCCTATTAACCCTATCCATGCCTCTCATGATTTTATAAGGTCACCCCTCAGTCACTGACACTCTAGGGAAAATAGCCCAACCTATTCAGCTTCTCCTTATCGCTCAAACCTTGTAACCCAGGCAACATACTTGTAAATATTTTCTGAAACCTTTCTAGTTTCACAACATCCTTCCTATAGAAGGGAGACGAGAATTGCACACAATACTCCAGAAGTACTACCTGGTTATTCTCCGAAGTCAGCCAGTGTAACTAAACTGAGCAAATCAGCAAACCCACATTCCCCAATTACCACCTTGACCCACCCTTACTACAGCTGAATCTGGCCCACCTACATCTCTTTCTGACCCAACCACCCCTTGATCTGATGACTGCACACTGGGACCATGGGACTGCTCCCCCCACCACTGACCTGACTTCCCAAGTACTCCCCTATGCACTCATTTATCCATTCACTAACCCATACTATTTCACAAACAGATTTTGAGGTCCTGAAAAATTTACCCACGCATCTCATGCTGAGAAAAGTGTGTGTATCCTCTCCTTCCTTTTGAATTTCATGTGTTTCCTTGACCTGCCCTCGAGAGGCTGCATTGGCCCATTACTGTTTCAGCTGGGACCAAAGGGTCTATTTCCATGCTGTATGACTCTATGACTCTAAATCTTGGCTAAAAATAGGCAGTTTTGTTGGGGCACAGAAATCTTTGCAAACTGACCAGCTTGTCAAAAAATAACTGCTTGGTTTCTATAGAAAAGATGCTTCCTTAGTCCTTATCTTTCACTTATCATTGCCTTTGCCTTTGTCATTTCTCCAATATTGTCCTTGCAAACTTAGAAATACCAATTTATTCAGGAATATGTCGTTAGACTATTCTGAAGAAACCATGTTAACCTATCCTTACTGATATCCGGTGACTCCTTGTGGCTCAATATGTTGACAACAGAACTGTAATAGAAATATAAAATACTGAGGGTACTAGAAATCTGTAAAACGTAAAATGCTGCAATGACACAGCAGGTCTTACAGCATCCTGGGAGAGAACAAGACAGAATTACCATTTTAGGTTGGCCATCTTTCCCAGAGCACCTCATTGTTTCTAGCATTTTCTGTTTTAACTTGAAAATCTTGATCTGTGTTATCGCTCCTTGCTTCAGCTGTCCCTATTCTTGTATCCGTTTACAATTCTGATCTACTCTAGTTTCACCCAAACCCTCCCATCAATTGGCAGAACCCGGTTTAGCCATTAAATCACCAGTGACTAGTCCTAAACACTTATCTTTCTAGACATTTTTCTTTGCCTTTATGAGCCATCTGTAAATCTATTTACTTTTTTTTATTCTCTTCTAATTTTTCTCGCACGCCTAACTGGATCAGCATTCCAACTGAGAAACATCTTTAGATAATTTTCTATATTAAAGGCAAATTTGCAATAATAATAAATACAATTTGTAAATTTAAAGGAATGTGTCAGCGATATCATATTGAACCAAATGTAATTTTTTTTTTAGGACCTCAACGCTCCTCACTATTGTGTAAGTGGTCTCAAGCCTTTTAAGGAGTTTGATGTCACAGTGAAACCATACACTTACTGGGGATCTGCAACAGAGACACAAGTCACTCTCTTCTCTCCTGAAGCTGGTATGATAATTTGTATGTAATCCTAAAATCATTTGGGGAGGCGATGGCCTACTGATATTGTTGCTAGACTATTAATCCAGAAACACAGCTAATGTTCTGGGGTCAACAAAAACAAAAAATGCTGGGAAAAACTCAGGTCTGGCAGCATCTGTGGAGAGAAATCAGAGTTAATGTTTCAGGTCCAGTGACGCTTCAATAGAGCTTGTATGTAATACCAAACAATATCTAAATTATTTTTATTTTTACCTGTATCACTGAAGATAGGGGGAATGTTTTCACCCTTTTTAGTCTGTTAAACAATATATCACAAAAATTAATGGAAGAATATCAGCTTCAACCAAATGTGATACACTGGTGGAATATTACCCCAGGAAAAACTAGTTAGTTTTTAGTAATGATGTGGATAAAGATTGATTTACTGGAATTTATTTAAAGGATCCAGTTACATTGGGAAAGGTGGTCAACTGACTTTTGTTTCAGAATGTTGTGAGTTTTATTTTAGAATTTTGTCGATTTGCTTCGGCATGTTAAGAATAGTCAGTGCTGTTGTGATAGAATGTGTTACGGCCGTCAAAACAGTGAACAGTGTTTTCAGAGCAGATTGTTAGTTGTGGTTTGGCCTGAAGACTCCTTAGTCAAGTAGAAGTTCTTAGTAGAAAGGTTACGGAGCATCAACTAGGCCAGGCAAATACTCGATGAAGAGGTATACAATTGTAATAACATTGTCAGTTGTCAAACTGTGTGAAATCAACATTCTAAAGTAAAACAACTGACATTCTGAAACAAAAAAAAAGCTGGCAGGAGTGTGTGAATGCTCTCTTCACTTGTCTGTGTATTAATCTGCTGATGTAGATGTCCATCAATCATATAATTTGTAGCTAATTAAGCTAGTAAAAAAATCGCAATTAAATTACATGATGTTGGGTCTTACTTGTAACATGGGTATACAGAAACTTGATGACTATTTCAGAAAAAATCTCTGCCAAAGCTGTAATGTGGAGTAGGTGTGTTTTTGTGTTGGCAAATAATCAATAGAAATAGAAAGTCTTAAAAACATAAAAGGCATTATTTTTCTGAAAAGAGCTAGTCCATTCCTTTGAAAGACTACATTTAAAGCAGTTAAATATATCATCCATTTATACTTTTATTTGGCCAGAAGTATAAAAAGAAATCTTTGTTTTCATTTGTTTCTGTAACTCAGCCTGTTAATTAATACAGGCATTAAAATTATTAGATTATCTGTTCTGCTGATATTGAAATTTAAGTTCATTTGTTTTTAAACGTCAAGAATATTTAGTTGGTTTTACATGATATTTCTAGCACCATCTGCTCCTGAAAATCCAAGGATTTTTGTGAATTTGAAGAAGGACATTCTGCTAGGTGTAATGAACATGGATGTGGAATTCAGGTGGAATGTGCCTGCCCAAATAAATGGTGTTCTCAGGGGTTACACTGTGTATTACACCACAGACAACTGCTCAGAAACCCTGCACGGAGAAGCACTGAATGTTACTGCTGAAGTTACTACTTTCTCATTGACTAATGTGGACCCAGCGAAAACCTACTGTATGCAGGTATGTAGGTAATTGATCACTAATTTTATACTCCTTCAAGGAATAGTTACCTGCGGATGATTTCTTCTTCTCTGAAAGCAGCTCTCACTTTCTTCTCATTGTCATAGTCTCCAAAGACAGACAGTTTTTCTGTCTTTAGTTCACAGTTAATTGTAACATTGACATTATAGCACCAATAGCTTTTAGATAAACAGCTATTATCTAAGGGTTGAATTACAGAGGCATAACATTAATGAAAGTTTAATGCATTTGTGCTATATTCCTGCATTTGTTATTCTTACACAGCCACCTGTGAAAACTATTAATATAAATCTTGGAAGTTCTGTCACTTACTACAGGTACACAGAATACTCAATGATGACAAAAATGGGAATTGATTGGTACAGTTAAGGTGTAGGAGCCAGCTTTCCATCTCTGAAACTAGGGAAGGGTTTAAATCTGTCTGTGAGGGCACGGTTGCTTGACAAGAGCCTGTCAACTTCCATCTCTTAATCCAAGTATTAGAGACCCAACCTGTTCAACCTTTGTGCATAACCTTCTCTGAACTAGATGCAATGAAATAATATCTTTCCTTAAATAAGGGGACCAAAATTGCTCACAGTACTCCATATGTGGTCTCACCAGCATCTTGTACAGTTGCAATAGGACTTTGCTACTCTTACTTGAAATAAGGGCAACATTCTGTTAGCCTTCCTGATTGCCTGCTGTACCTGGTTGTTAGCTTTCTGTGTTTCATGCACAAGTACCCTTAAGTTCCATCATGCTGCAGCCTTTTGCAGTTTTTCTCCTTTTTAAATAATACTGTGTTCTTTATCCTTCCTTCCAAAATGAATGACTTCACATATTCCTACGTTATATTCCATTTGCCAACTTTTTGCCCATTTACTTAACCAATCAATACCTTTGTTTAAACTGTTTGTATCCCTCTCACAACTTGCCTTTCCAGTTATTTTTGGGTGAGGCACCTATGTCAAGGATTGAGTCCTGGTTGAGAAGATCCTTTAAGTACTTCTTCCAATGAGTACAGACTACTGCCTCTCTGAGCTTGATGTGCATCACTCTGTTTGTAGTTCACAGTAAGACCATAAGACCATAAAACACCGGAGCAGAAACTAGGCCATTCGGTCCACCGAGTCTACTCTGCCATTCAATCATGGCTGATAAGTTCCTCAACCCCATTCTCCCTGTAACCCTTGATCCCCTTTCATAATCAAGAGCCCATCTATCTCTGTCTTAAATGTACTCAATGACCTCGTCTCCACAGCCTTCTGTGGCAGTGATTTCCATAGTTTCCCCACTCTCTGGCTGAAGTAGTTTCTCCTTATCTCCATTCTAAAAGGTCTTCCCTTTACTCTAAGGCTGTGCCCTCGGGTCCTAGACTCTCCCATGAGTGGAAGCATCTTCCCAACATCCACTTTGTCCAGGCCATTCAGTATTCTGAAAGTTTCGATTAGATCCCCCCTCATCCATCTAAACTCCAATGAGTATAGTCCCAGAGTCCTCAAACATTCCTCATACGTTAAGCTTTCCATTCCTGAGACCATTCTTGTGAACCTCCTCTGAACCCACTCCGAGGCCAGTACATCCTTTCTGAGATATGGGGCCCAGAACTGCACACAATACTCCAAATGTGGCCTGACCAGAGCCTTATAAAGCCTCAGAAGTACATACCTGCTTTTATATTCAAGTCCCCTTAAAATAAATGCCAACATTGCATTTGCCTTCCTGACTACTGACTCAACCTGCAAGTTTACCTTGAGAGAATCCTGGACTAGAACTCCCAAGTGTCTTTGCACTTAAGACTTCTGAATTTTCTCCCCATTTAGAAAATAGTCCATGCTTTTATTCTTCTTACCAAAGTGCATGACCTCACACTTTCTCATGTTATACTCCATCTACCACTTCTTTGCCGACTCTCCTAACCTGTCCAAATCCTTCTGCAGCCTCGCCACCTCCTCAATACTACCTGTCCTTCCACCTATCTTTGTATCATCTGCAAACTTAGCCAGTAGGCTAGGTCCTTGGGTGCTTGGGCAGTAGATGGTCCCAAACTTAATTTTGAGAGGGTGGAAAATGCCTATCTGTGGGTCCTTTTTAACATGTGGTGGCCATTGCACACGAACTAACATACAAAGTGTAACAATATCCCTGTCCAATGACAGGGATAGCCGAGATAATTGGAAGGCAAACTGGGCTGCACAGACAGGGACTGATGCATGTGCAAGTTGCAAGTATTTACCCCATCAACCTAAGAGCTTGCAGTCCTCCTTGCTTGTGGGTGGGTGTTGAAGCAGGGAGAGTGTGCCATATTGATCAACCCCTGTAAGGTCAGGAAGGACTCATTACTGCCACAGTAACAGCAATTTTCACAAACAGCCTGTGCCAACTACAAGAGCGCCGTGAACCGTTTTAATTTTTGATGTTACAACCCAATCTCTGGACCTCCTGTCCCCTGTTGCTTTAACTGATTGATTGGCCCTGCCTCTCTCTGCACTCTTGTCTTATCCCCACTTGTGGTCCTGCTCTTTCCTGTCCATAGTTCCACTCTTTCCCACTTCCCTCTCCCCGTGCCACATATACCAACTCTACCCCCAACCCCATAGCTGGTATCTCTTTCCCGCTTCCTCGTCTCATTCTTCTCTACTATTCCCTGCATCTGGTTTTACTATAACCTGGGAATGCCTCGCATTCTTGCTGCAAGCTAGAAATCGGAAGACTTTCATTTTTCAGCTGTGGAGTTGTCTCTTAAATAAATTTTTCTTGAATTTGTTTTTCTACTAAATCGTTTTGTTTAAATAAAATGTCCTGTCAAGAAACAGAATGATTGTCTTGAGATTTTCTTTCAAGCGACTCTGTAGTCTCACCCTTGATTTTGAATAGCCCTTTTAACATTTACCTTTTCTAACATGCTACTTTTCCAGGTGGAAGGTTTTACAGATGCTGGATCAAGTAGCAGAACACGTGTTAGAATGGGGAATGTAACAGGTCAGTGAACACATGGAAATGGAAAACGTGGTAATTTGATCAATTGTTTAAAGGTTTTTGGTATTAATCCTTTTGGGTCTAAATCAGGCCAATGGTGCTCTTAAATGCAACTTTGAAATAATGAAAATTGCTGCAAACCTAAGAGGTGAACAATTTGATTAATGGATTGAATCCTTGTTTAAGATTATAATGGACCTGTTAAACTTAAGTGCATGCTGAGCGTTTTTGCTGAGTGTCCAAATCTTTTCCCATTCACCACTGTAAGATCTTTTGCTTTCACAGTTTGTCAGAGTAACTTGTTTGGTAAAAGGATTTGCTGCGTATATTGGGAGATAAAATTGAAATGTATTGTCAGTTATGCAGCTTATATAGAATCTGCAGGCTGTTTTTGGCAAAGTATTTATTGGAGAGAAACTTAGGCTGTTGAAACTGCGGGGCTGGAAGATCTTGATGAACAATTGGCCTGTTGTCAGATTTGATTAAACACTTTTTCAGATATTATTAGTTACTCTGTTCAATGGCAATGAAACATTAAAATAAACAATAACCCTTTCCCTGTAAACAGTTACAGGCACAGTGCCGTATCTATTAACCGTAAAGGACAGAATGGTCACTATTTTTGACGTGGACACTGGGCAAACTGTTCGGAAAATGCTAGTCTCTGCTGTTATTCACGTGGGTTACATACTACAGACACAGACAATATATTATTTGACAGAAAACCTGATCTTGAGTACAGCTTTGAATGGTAAAGACAGAACTCAGGTATGGCTTTCCTGTTTGGTATGCTCCTAATGGAGTTTGACAGATATCATGTATTTCAAGCTACAGAGCCAACTAATTTTAAAGAATATATTCTTGAATTCTATCAACAGCTTATTGAGAGTATCTTGTGCAGTGCTCCTAAAGGGATGGCGGTTGACTGGATTGGACAAAAAATTTACGTGCTGTTGGATAAACAAGAAAATGCAAACAGTTCAATTTATGTTCTGGATCTGGAATTACAAGGAACAAAGCTAGAGAAATTACTGTCCAGCAGCCAAAATATTTACTCAATTGGAGTATATCCAAAGAAAAGGTATTTGTTCTAGATGCTAAGAGTATATATGTATCGGCTAACTGGAATACATTGCTTTGGACTTGATTAAAAAAAATTGTTTCTCCTCTCTTTTGTACCCCTTATCAGCCTCCTGTTTTGGACTCAGCCAGTGTCTGGAGATATAATTTTAGTGTCTTACAGTTTAAGTGAGCGATTGCCTAGAACTCTCATTGGCCTTCATTTGCAAGTTGATCATTCTGTTCCTGAAGCAATAGATTGCAACTGCACAACAGCCAAGCTTCATTTGGATGGAAACTTTGCTGTTGATACTACAGATTCTGAGCCTGAGAGACTCTTTTTCACAACTCCAGACCATGAAGTCTGGGCCTCGGATTTAAATGGCTGCATATGTTGGAAAAAGATTAATTTCACAGGAGCGACAGGTATGCGTAATAATTATTCTTGTATCTCAAAGGGAAAAAACACCCTACCACAAACGGAAAAGATCTTCACTAATCAGGTGTGTAGCCCCATGTGCTGAAGTGAGTGGATACAATGGTGGAAGTAAATACAAACCGGTTTACTCTGGGGGAGAAGTTGGATTTTTTTGTTCAGTTGATTGGGTGTGTTACTGGCAGCATATTGTAAATATTGTCCGGAGGATGGAGCCCAATTCTTTTCCCAGATTCCTCCCCTCAGGCACCATGTCCAAAATTTTGATGAGCTGCAAACACCAACTGGTTGCTCTGATGCAGCTCTGGGCTCAGCTCATTCAATAAAAGGTGACCCACAGAAGCAGAGTCGGCTCAAAATTACCTCCTAGTAGGGCAGAGAAAAGATGAAAGGTAAAAGCCAAGTTTGAGCCAACAGTACTCCCTGTTCCTCCAGTGAATTGGAAACATAACCTTGTTTCTAACAATCCCTTTAGAAACTGTCACTTTAGATGTGGCAAAAACTGAGGTTGGCATCATGATCCTGATTGTCTTGTTTGAGAAATCTAATGCTTGTTTCAGGGAAGTGTTTTGGCCTAGTGACAAGTTCAGTCGAAAATGACAAACCCTAAATTTCAGATGCAGATCTTGGTGAGTTTTGTGCTGAATAATTGAATGAAAGGAAGTTGACTTTTTCACACTCTGATTTCTTTTATCTTACTGTTGTCCCACAAATTTGGGAAAAAAACACATCTCTTGCAGCTGTCTAGACATTTAAGGATGAGATAAATTTGTTGTAGGCAGTTATGGTGAATGTGAGATATTAGTGATCATTGAAAATGTGGTCAACTTTTGGTATTCTACGTAGAATTACAGCTGGACATGTTATTACAGTGCAGTGCCTGAAAGAGTGGAGCAACCAGTTTCAGTAGTAACTTTGAGCAGGGACATGTACATTAAAAGGAAAACATTTGGAATGTTATGGGGAAAGAATAGGGGATATCTCTTAGAAACAGTCAGTATAGAAACATTTGGCCAAATATCTATCTTCTGTGTTCTAAAACTGTGTATGAACATCTTTCGTAGATTTTGGTACAACATCACTGACAGTGAATTCAAATGCAGTTTATTGGATAACTCGGGATGGTGATCAATCTACAGTTTATATGGCTGATAAATTCTCAGGGAAAGTTATATCTGAATATCAAGATTCCTCGCTAGTTGCAGTGATGACATTCGGTGAAGAGTCACAACCATATCCAGGTAAAAGAACAGCAGGATCACAAGTGATTAGATTTTGAACATTCAGAATATGTTGACTGTAATTACAAAACATGGACAAGAAGTTGAGATGAGTTCAATTATTTCATGGTCCTCCTCTTCAGTCTGTAATGGATGTAGTCTTTAAGTTTAGAAAAACATATGTTGTATTTCTTTTCCCTTTTTGAAGTGGGATGTGGAGTATTACACCCCACCCGCAACCAACTGTTTATGAAGTCCAATTTTTTTTTTAAGACCAACAACAAACACTCTTTAAGGTTGAAACAAAAAGGGTGGATTATTGAGGTATACAACCTAGGGGATGATTCGCAATGCACATGCTACATGCATCATGCAGCATGTGTAATACATACATTATGCATAACAGGCATGTGCAGCATGATACCACCCCTTCATTGAAGAGAAAAAGTTACAATTGTGAATAATTGACAGCTGTAACAGTTATGAATAACATAAAAAGGATACAGACAATCATTTGCTGAACTCTAATTCAAATGGATTCATGTCCAATGAGGAAAAGCAAAGTAGTACAGATGCTAGAGATCTGAAATAAAGACAGAGTGCTGGAGAAACACAGCAGGTCTGACAGCACCTCTGGCTCTGAAGACTGTGTTACATCTGGGTGCAGTGTCCTAAGAAGTGGGACATCTGACAATCTAAATATCTGTTTTTCCTTTTAGATCCAAAGTGCCTAATACCAAAAGCCTATACAAGCATGCCGCAAGTAGTAAATAAATCAGATACTAGTCTGATTATTTACATTCCACCTGTTGAGTTCCCTTCTACATGCTCTGAAATTAGCAAACCCACTCCCACTTACATTTTGCATTATGCAGAATACCTGGATAATTATATTGATGCCAACTGTACCCATGGAATTCAGTGCTATAAGAAGGTAAATTATTTGCAAAAACTAATTGCATTTCATTGATTTTTTTGATGTGTAGTGTATATTCTCTTGACCCTAATTTGGATGGAATTAAATATAAGTGAATGTGATCCTAAAAATGTAGCAATGTTAGTAGTATGTGAAAGTTCATGGGCTGTATATCCAGCTACTTTCTATGATAGATGGACTTTTACAGAAAGGGTAAGACCTTTTGATTTAGTCTTTTTTAAAAGACTCCATCAGACTCCTACTTAAAAATTAAACTACCTTTAAAGTAGTAATAAGGAATGTTTTACCAGTATATTTTCCTTTGATGTATTACTAGAAGAATGATTCTTCTTGATAGTAAGTGTACAAGCTTGAAACATTGCTGTCTCCTGACTAGTATGTTAATGCAGTTCAAACATATATTTGAGCATAGCAGCCTGGTTGAACTTAGCAGTGTACATTTTCAATTTAACAAAAAGTGAAAAAGAAACCACAAACAAATTGGAGCATATCAAAGTTGGTCCCAATTCTAAAGTGAATTGATTTCCTTTCAAAGCATTCGGATGATATTGTAAAAGTTGGCTCACTTTGCAATATTAAACACATGTATTCAAATACTAAACAAAACTAATCTGAGTGCAGGTCCTATTAGGAAAAAAAGTTCATTTAAAAAGCAGATTCTGGTGATACTGTTGTTGAAGTGATTGTTGTAAGGAGCTTCATGCTATTCCTTGTGTTGCAATCATCATCAGTGCAACAGCACCATGTGGTTATCTTCCACCTCCCACACAGTCACTCAGGGACACTTCATAGATTGTTTGAAATAAATCTTTTTTTATAATCCTACTCGTCCCATATAATTACTGAAAAATGATATCTGTCAGTTCTCACCTGATTACTCTCAAATGTCCTGTGGTCCTCACAAGGCAGCCATTATTTCAGTGAACTTTGGTGATTATCAGCAAATTAATTCAAATTAGTGCTGCATTTGAGGCCACCCTGTCATCATTAAACATTTATTTATACTGACACAGTTCTTGGGGTCACATTCAAGAGCAGGATGGATGTTAGTTTATTTTCTTGTGTGTGCATGGCTTGGCTGCTTGTTTAATAAAGTTTTCTGAAAATACTCAATAGCTTTATCAAAAGAAATGTCGTACAGCTGAAAATTTCAAAAGATGTATGATTGATGGATTAATGATAAGTTCTAATAACTTTGTTGAATCATAAGCGTAACTTCCAAATTTGCAGACAGCACCAAATTTTGATGGGTGAGGTCTTGGAGCATGGGGGGGTGGGCATAGATAGTCAGATACTATAACAAATTACAGAAGGACACTAGTCAACTTACAGAGTTGACAAATAATTGGTAAATAAAGTTCAACACTGAACTTGTAAGTTGTACATTTTCATAGGAAGAATAGGAAGGTACAAGTTGAAATGGATAGAAGAACAAAGGGGTCTTGGAACACATACTTCAATGCTAAAAGTTTTGCCAAAACCTAGCAAGACCAAAAAATAATTTACACACCAGACTTTATTTCTAGGGGGATAGAATGAAAAGTAGGGAGGGTTTGCTAAAACTGTATTGAACCACAGTTGGGTTGCAGTTGGACAACTGCATGTAGTTTTGAATACTAAAAAATATATTAAGGATATAGAAGCACGAGAAAGGATGCAGAGAACATTCAGAAGATGATATCTGATTTGTACGGGTGTAAATATCAGGAACGGATTAACAGGCAGATTGGAGGGGCTGAGTGGCCTATACCTAATTTGAATGTTTATGTGTTCATATAAGGGGCCTGTATTTCTTTTCTCTTGGAGGGGATAGGCTGAGGGATAGCCAGATAAGTGTACATAAATTAGAAAAGTTTTCAACAGAGTGAATACAAAAGATGTTCGGTCTTGTGAGGAAGAGCATAACTGGAGACCATCAATATTAGATATTCACCAAGAAATCTAATTGGGCATTCAAAGAAACACAGTGGTGAGAACGTGGAACTTGCTGTCACAGTGTGTAGTTGAAGCAAATTGTATAAATACAGTTAATAGGCAGCTAGCAAAGCATACAAGGGAGGAAAGGTGAATCAATGTTGAAACTATGGATTTACATTTGAAAAAAATGGGAGGACACTCGAGTGGAGATAAACACCAGCATGATTTGCTAGGGCCAAATATATCCTTTTAAATCCTACGTGCTGTCTGAGGACCAGGAGCAGGTTGTTTAGTCGCATTGTTTTCAATGGGGAAAAAATAATTAAGAAAATTTGAAGTAATGGACAGTTAGGAGCATGGTGTAAAATGCACTTGAAGCTTAAGCTGATTTTTAGGCACTGAGTCACATTCAAAAAATATTGGTCTCATTAGGTTTCTGTTTTCCTTAATATTTTCATATTGGTGGCTATAAAATTTAAAAATAAAGCACCCATCACAAATTAATTTTATGGGAAGGTAGAGTAGAAAAACAACTGATAGTAAGTTAATAGAAAAAGTCTGATGGTGACCTGGAAAAAAACCTGATTATGACCTAGAAAAAGCTTGAATTTTGGCCAGGAAAATTTTGGCTATGACCTAGAAACACCCTGCATTTAAAAATGACTTGTGTTTTGTGTGTTTCTTTTTTAACAGGAAGTGCAGACAAACATCATAGAGCTGAAAGGGCTGCAGTCTTACACCAGATACCTCATACAGGTTTCAGTGAGAAATTATTATGGAGATATGTCAAAGGAGCTGGGTCCACCAGCAATAAACTGGACATGGTTTGGAGGTGATATATTTTATTGGGTGATTGCAATTTAATATGCATTAATTGTCATACAACATTTATATCTATGATATTGTGTAATCATTAAAAGTTATTGATACATAATTAGCTATTTGTAATTCTGTTTAGCTCCACACCTAAACTATATTATCATAGAAATCTTAAAGTGCAGGAAGAGGCCATTTGGCCCATTGAGTCTGCACCAACCCCCTGAAGAGCATCCCACCCAGACCCATCCCAACCCATAAGCCCACATGAGTTTTTAAATATGGCCAATCCACCTAACCTGCTTATCTTTGGATTGTGGAAGGAAACCAGAGCACCTGGAGAAAACTGGAGACAGTAAGAATGAGGGAGAACGCTTTTCACTGGTTGGAGTTGTACCTTGTACAAAAATAGATGGTTGTCGTTGTTAGAGGCCAGTCAACTCAGGATCCAGAAGGGTAGTGCCCCAGGCCCAACCATCTTCAGCTGCCCCATCAATGACCTTCCCTCCATTGTAAGGTCAGAAATGGAGTTATTTGCTGATGATTGCATGATGCGCAGCATCATTCCCAACTCATCAAATGCTGAAGCAGTCCTTATCCAAATGCTGCAAGATCTGGACAATATTCAAGGTCAGGCTAATGAATGGCAAGTAACACTTGCACCACATAACTGTCAAGCAATGACCATCAAGGCATTTTGTGCAAATTAGGAGCAAGAGGATAGCTAGGGAAAGAGTGGACCCACTCAAGGATAAAGAAAGAGGTTACGTGTGGAGCCAGTGTAAATGGGTGAGATCCTTAATGAGTACTTTATATTGGTATTCACCAAAGGGAGGGTTGTGATGGAAGTTGATGTTAGGGAGAGGTGTGTGAATACTCTCATGGAGGTCGACACAATGAAGGATGAAGTGTTGGATGTTGTGAAAAGTAGAGGAGTCCCCAGGGCCTGATGGGATCTATCCCAGGATACTGTGGGAGGCAAGGGAGGAAATAGCTGGGTCCTTAACAGATATCTTTGCATCCTTTTTGGCCTCAGACCAGGTTCCAGCGGACTGGAGAGTGGCCAATGGTATTCCTTTGTTTTAGAAGGGAAACAGACATAATGCAGGTAATTACAAGCCAGTGAGCCTGACATCAGTGGTGGGGAGCTAAAGGAGAAGATACTGAAAGACAGGATTTATTCACATTTGGAAGCAAATGGACTTGTTAGTGATAGGCAGCATGGGTTTGTGTGGGAAAGGTCATGTCTCACCAACTTAATTGAGTTTTTTTGAGGAAGTGACAAGATTGAGGGAAGGGAAATGAATGTTGTCTGCATGGGCTTTAAGAAAGCATTTGATAAGGTACCTCATGGCAGCCTGGTACTGAAGATAGAATCTCATCAAATCTGGGGTATGCTGTCTAGATGGATACAGGACTGGCTTGGTCATAGAAGACAGAGAAGCCACGGAAGGGTGCTTTTTGGAATGGAGATCAGTAACTAGTGGTATTCCGCAGGAATCAGTGCTGGGACCTTTTGTCGTTTGGAATATGTATAAATGATCTAGAAGAAAATGTAAGTGGTCTGATCAGTAAGTTTGCGGATGACACCAAAATTTGCGGAGTTGCAAATAGTGAGGAGGTTTTTCGAAGGATATTGCAGATTTGGCAGAGAAATGGCAGGCTAAGTTTAATTTGATGGGCAGCACAGTGGCTCAGTGGTTGGCACTGCTGCCTCACAGCGCCAGGGATGTGGGTTTGATTCCATCCTCAGGTGACTGTCTGTGTGGAGTTTGCATATTCTTCCCGTGTCTGCATGGGTTTCTTCCAGGTGCTCTGGTTTCATCCCACAGTCAAAAGATGTGCAGGCTAGGTGGATTGGCCATGCTAAATTACCTGTAGTGTTCAGAGATGTGTAGATTAAGTGGGTTATAGGGTGATGGGTCTGGGTAGAATGCTCTGAGAGTCGGTGTAGACTTGTTGGGTCAAAGGGTTTGTTTCCACACCGTAAGGATTCTATGATCTATGATCCGGACAAGTGTGAGGTGATGCGTTTTGGAAAATCAAATTCAGCTGCTAATGAGACAATAAATGGCAGAACCCTTAGCATTGACTTACAGAGGGATCTGGGCATACAGGTCCACAGATCTCTGAAAGTGGCAACAGTGTTGGATAAGGTGGTCAAGAAGGAATACAGCACACTTAACTTCATTGGCCGGGATATCGAATATAAAAATTGGCAAGTTATGTTACAGCTGTAAAAAACTTCAGTTAGGCCACATTTGGAATATTGTGTGCAGTTCTGGTCAGTACATTACCAGAAGGATGTGAATGCTTTCGAGAGGGCGTAGAGAAGGTTTACCAGGATGTTGCCATGTCTGGAGGGCTTTAGTTATGAGGTGAGGTTGGATAAACTCAGGCTGTTTTCATTGGAATGATGGAGGCTGAGGGGTAACCTGATAGAAATCTAAAAAATTATGAGGCATAGATAGGATGGATAGTCAAAGGCTTTTTCCCAGGTTGAAAAGTTAACTACAATAGGGCACAGATTCAAGGTGAGAGGAAGAAAGTTCAGGGGAGAAGTGAAGGGTAATTTTTCACAGATTGGTGGCTGCCAGTGGAGGTGTTGGAAGCAGGCACATTAACAACGTTTAAGGCACATCTTAATAGATGCACGAACAGGAGGTGAACAGAGGGATATAAACCACACATGGGCAGTAAGTAGATGGCCTAAATAAGGATTAGGAATTGGTGAAGGTTTGGTGGGCCGAAGGACCTGTTCCTGTGCGGTGGTGTATTGTATCTCCAGTAAGAGAGAATCTAACTGTTGCCTTGACATTCAGTAGCATTAGCATCGTTGAATCCCCACTATCAACGAGTTGTGCACTACTATTCACCAGAAACTGAACTGGACCAGCCACGTAAATACTGTGACTACAACAGCAGATCAAAGCTGGTGATGCTGCATTGAGTATCTCACCCTCTAACACCACAAAGCCTGTTTTTCCTCCAAGGAACAAGTGAGCAGTGTGATAGATTACTCTCGACTGGTTGAGTGCAACTCCAACAACACTTGAAGCTTGACACCATCCAGGACAAAGCAGCCAGCTTGACTGGCATCATATCTATGAACATTCAGTCACTCTGCCAATGTTCAATCACAGCAACAATGTGTACCTTGCAAAAATACCCAGTCTACATAAGGAGTGCCAAACTCAAATTACATCTCATCTCTTAGTGCCCATAAAAAGTCTTTTTGCAATGCATTTATAAATCTTATTGGTTCAGTAGATGTTGAGCAAAACGCTGCTGTGGTTTGAATTGCAGCCATCGGCGGCCCAGTTCGTTATAAAATGTCGCCTCGATTGATCAGAAAAATAGATCTGGAAACGGTATGCAGCAGGACACTTTCTAAAATAATGAAGTCAAAGTACTTGAGATGCCAGAGATCTGAAATAAAAACAGAAAATGCTGGAGAAATTCAGCAGGCTTGGCAGCATCCATGGTGAGAGAAACAGCATTCTCATTTTAAGCCCAATATGACTGTTTTTCAAAATTCTACTGATAAGAGTGATATTCAGTTCAAATCATTCACTCCATTGATGCTGCCAGTTTTGCTGAGCTGCTTCAGCATTTCCTATCTTGCAAAATAGTGGTCATGTACATGCAATAATGTATGTGAAACAGTATAAACTGATTCCAATAATTGTGTTTTGTACAATCCAGTGCCATCAGCACCACAACAAGTAGAAGTAGTTGTATTATCAGACCACAGAGCAAAGGTTTCATGGACTGCACCTTTAGAACCAAAAGGACCTATAGAACAGCTTCGTTATCAAGTACAATATAATGGAAATAATTACTGGCCTGCTGTGCCTATAAGATTAGACCAACTAGCAGATGGACAAAGACAGATTGAACTAGCAAACCTTCAAAGTGGAACTGAGTACCAGTTCCAGGTAAGCTAAGAGTAAATATTTAATTATTCAAAAATGTGTTTCTCTTGTATTAATTTGCTATCTTCCATATTATAGTCATAGGCATCATCTAATTTGTTCTATATTAGGCCAGAATGTTTAAAAAGCATTTTTGTAAAAAGGAAAAGGGTGGAAGTACATATCCATCAATAGCTGAGAGATGAATAAATATCATTTACAAAATGAAGGAAAGCATAATTTCATCACACTGCAGACAGGTTGAATAAAATTGGACATGCCTGACTTCTAAAATTTGAAATCTAGAAGCAGTCTGCCAATTTCCTGCTCTGTGACCAAAGAACTAGGAGGAGGTATAGTCATTTAGGTCTATGAACCTGTTATGTACCATTTAAAAAGTATATGGCTGAAGTGTAACAGGCCTCCGTATACCTGCCTTTGCCTTCGTGTCTCTTAGTACATTCAACAAAAATCTACCAATGTCAATTTTAGAGTTGGTTGATCTAGCATCAGTTAGCTGTTTGTGAATAGTTCCAAAGTTCTTCCACTGCTTGTATGAAGAAGTGCAAGCTAATTTCCGTCCTGAAACATCTAGTGTTTTTTTTAATGTGCTGTCTGTCTGAGTTTCCAAAATGGTGGAAAATGCTTCTCTCTCTATATCTTCTGTTCCAACTTTTATCCTACGCATTAAAATTCCAGGAAATTCAACCCTAGTTTATTTAATCACTCCTTATAGCTTAAATCATTGGAGGTTAGGCATCATTTAAAAAATCTATGCTACATTCCCTCCAAGGCCAATATCAGTGATAAAATGGCCAAAACTACTCTCAGTACTCTAGCTGTGGCCTCACCAGTTCTCTTTCATATAGCTGAAGAATGATTTCTATCCTGTTGCTTTCCAGTCCTTTTATATCTAAAAGCTAGCTTTCCTTCAGTTTTGTAGATTAATTTCTGTACCAGTTCATTACAACATTTTAGTGATGTGTATGCTAAGCCTTATTGGACTGCACCACTTTCTCACTTTTCATTTAGAAATTTCCCTGTTCTATTCTTTGGGGAACTCCAATGGGCCTAGTGATGGCCTAGTGGTATTATTGCTGGACTGCTAATCCAGCAACTCAGATAATGTTCTGGGGATCTGGGTTCAAATCCCGCCTTGGCAGATGGTGGAATTTGAATTCAATAAATATCTGGAATTAAGAATCTAATAATAACCATGAATCCATTGTCAATTGTCAGAAAAATCCATCTGGTTCATTAATGCCCTTTAGGGAAGGAAACTGCCATCCTTACCTGGTCTGGCCTACATGTGACTCCAGACCCACAGCAATGTGGTTGACTCTGAACCACCCTCAGGGCAACTGGGATGGGCAATAAATGCTCGCCAAGTCAGCATGCCCTCATCGTGTGAATGAATAAAAAAATGAATATGAGCTGATCCCAGCACCTTCGCCATTAAAGGTTCAATCTTTTCTTCGTTTCCTCCTTTGCTGTATGAATGTGTAGTATAATATTGACAAATCTCTGCACTGGCATTGCATGCTTTTGTAAGCTGAGGTTGGTCATGGCTCACCGAAGGCCAGCTCATCTAGCAAGATGTCTTGGAGCAAAAGATTGAGTATAGTGTTCTTAAAAGTGTTCTGCTCCTTCCACTTATTGTCATGACTTGTCAACTTGTTCACCACAGACAAGCTCTGCAGGGAGCGCCACGCTCATAATGTCTCTGCCTTTGCAATAGGCCACCTTTCATAAGTGCAAACTTGAGTGCTTAACCTGAACTAATTGTTAAACTTTAACATCTAGCGGAAATTAGAGGGCAATAATTTAACAAGAAAACCTTACAATCTCAAGATATGAAAATAGGATAAATGTTCACTTTTGATTCATATGGTACAGATAATAAACTGTCAGTAAGGATAAGAAATAACTCTACAAAGGCTGGTATCCTGTCACCAAGTCACTCTTTATTTTCACATGCATTGTACATAACATTGACTCAGCTAGCTCAGAGCTGGCTACTAGAGTCCCTCTGTTCAGGATATATCCTGAGTGAGATCAAGCAATTGCCTTTACTCAAATGGCATCCCCCAAGTACAAGGTGGCCTGGTTGAGGGCGTCCATTTCTGTCGGCATACCCTGTAACTCATCTGCTTCATTGCTGCATTTTCTAAAGCCAGTTGTGGTGCCTGTTTGAAATCCAGTTGGGCTTTAGCTCATACGTGCTTTTACATGATTACATCATTAATCCCACATACCAAACGGTGTCTCAGCATCTCACTTAGGTTAAACCAAAATCACGTCTCTGTCAGTCATCTTAACCTCATCAAAAATCCTGATACAGATTCCCCTGGTTCTTGAACTGCTGAGTAAGTCTCAGAATTAGAAGATGCTTGGAGTTGTAATATTCCTTGGCTAAATCAGTCCACTCTTGAAAAGTTCCTAACTCTTGAAAACCTCAAGGAAAGCTAGGCTTTTAATAACCAAAAAAGCTGCGGGTCCACAAGCCTTCCATCTGCCCCAATGTCATTTGACCAGAAGAAATAACTCATTCTTTCCACATACTGGGCTCAGTCTTAAATGGCAAAATCCAATGAGTCAAGCCTCCCAAATAGTGGCATGATGCCAGGAATGCTTACCCAACCCAAAGACAACTGTTGCAAGCGAATCTCTTCAGGGGCGTGTTTTTCTCGCGTCGCCATTGAAATAATTCCACAAAGTCTGGTATCCCATCATGAAGACACCCTTTATTTACACATGCATGGTACTTAACAAGGATGTATCAGTGGTTTGAAGGTCCTTATTTTGATAATTTGTTTGCTTGTTGTAAAAGTGGCGTGTAATGATTTTGCTAAGTGGACATTTATTTTTGGCAGGTATTGAGTTATCCCCCCATTGGTGGAAGTTTTAGCTCAAGTGAAATTGTCTTGGGAAAAACATTTCTGACTCCTCAGTCTCCTCACCTTCTTTCAGTGGGAAATATCACAGCGACAATTCTCTGGCAATTTATATCCAATTACACAATGGAGAAATACTGGTTTGAAATTTCCCAGGTATCTATCACTTTGACATTTACTTAAGTTGAAATTGCAATCGGGATTTTAATGTGCTTCCACGCATCTTACTTGAAACAATATCTGGATGGTTGGGCAGATAAAGGAGTATGGTATCTTTTTTGCTGTTGCCTGCCTCTCTGGCACAGTTCTCACTGATTTCATTTGTACCTGCCCCACTGTTGTAACTCAGTTCCTTACCACAATGGCTTCTGCTTCTACCCAGAAAAGTCACGTTGGGAGTGCCTGGGGGTTCCATCTCAGGCCTCTTCTTTTTTTAGATCTTACTCAACCAAAGGCATAGCTACAATATGGATGTTAATAAAATCCAACTCAGTCTCTCTGACACCACCTTAAACTTCATGTCCCCACTTTGTTGGTATTGACAATGCTGAAAGCATATTCTCCTACCAAAAACTTTATACCGTCATTTCTGAACCTATTCCTCTCCTTGAGTATGATTTGTATCTTCTGTATCTGGTTTAACCTTAAGCTGAACTTCAAATTCCATATCTTATTTAACACCAAACTATCTAATTCATTAACTCAACATCATTTGCCTGACTTTTAGTGAACCACACCAGTATTGAAACCCATATGTACACTTTCTCATTATCAGCTTTGTTTATTAGAAATCATCTTATTATCTTTTTCATCTTGCAGAAGCTGCAACCTGTGCAAAACTTCATTACCTGCACAAAATGCCAATTCCCTGTATATCCTTTGCTAACTGCCAACTATCATTAGATATAAGGGCTTCAGTGCATAAATCAATATCCTTTTCAAACACTTTGGCTTACTTTGGACCTACCTGCCTCTGCAACTGCAACATGTGCTCCTTGCTATCTTGGCTGTTTTGTTTTTCAATCCCCTTCACCATCTGTTTTGCCATCAATGAAAGACATTAGCTGCCTAAGCCATTCACTGCCTAATCCTCTCCACCTTGTTCCTACGCTGCCTGAAAATTCTACGAACAAGATTTTGGCCACTGCTTCTAATAATTCTCCAGCTGGTTACTGTCAGTCTGCTTTGTGAGTGTCTTTGGGGTGACTGCAACATCCAGTCTGACAGAAATGTAAATTGTGTTTGCACTGAGTTAGAGGTTGATATTTAAGGGCTCCCAATTGTGTGATCAGAGCAAGGGAACAGTTATCTGATAAACTTTGTTGGAAACTTGAACCATCTTGGAGTGCTGATGGGAAGCCCATCAGTTGGATGGACAGGAAAGCAAGCAACTTCTTCAGTAAACCAAGCTGACAGTTTTTCCATAAAGGTGAGTGTGACAAAAAATTGTTCTTTTTAAATGACTGGAGCATGTATCTATAAGGATCATTGATTAGTTTGAATCCTATGGCCAGTTGTCATTACTGAGTTGGGTGCACAAAGACAGGAGGAATCCCAGCTCCATGTACGTTTCCCATTCTCGTGGGTGTGGGAGGGTAGGATGGATTTTGCATTGTGTTGGGTGACCCAGCACTATCTATTAAACCGCTCGTTCCTGACATGGGTGGAAAAAACAGCCTCAAGTCTCCAGCAATGTTTGTTCAAAGTTTAAATATAAAGATTAAAATGTAAAACCTCCCTCCTGCTGTCATCCCTTTACTCTATGCTCCATCTATTCCATCATGACCCCGCCCCATACCATCATGTGAGTGCACTGTTTTCCTTGGCCCCTTGTATTCCCATGCATCCTATCATGCCCGTAGGCCTTTATAACATTGCCAACTCCGTGTCCACTCATATCCTGAATCCATCACCCCTTGCCTCTCCCTCTCCAAGCCATCTCATCAATTATCCTGCATAGGCACACATCGGGAGACATCCTGTCCAAAAATATAATTATTATTTGTTTATGTCATTTGTGGAAAAGCCATAACCCTACTTGTCACAAAAGTCTGAAACATTGAAATTGCTTCAACTAATCCCTTTTGAAATCAAATCTTAAGCTTAAAAGCGCAAAGATTTATGTACAGAAACATTTTGCTTAAATTCTTGATACCTAACGACAACAAACATTTCCATTTGACAAGCAGTTACAGTTGTCCATCAATAGGCACTCCATTGTGAAAATGAAAGTTTAGGAAATGCAGCACCAATCCCTATCATGGTGAACAGGTACCCTGAAATAGTTGTAGTTTTTAAAACAATATTTTGGACTCTTTCTTGACAACTTTGCAAGTTTCAATAAGTCTATGTACTTTCTATTCACAAGCATGCCTTTTCATAATTCCAAGGGGCACCTTACCTCCACCAAATGTCTCTACGGATTAGATGCATAACTCTTCAAAAGGGCAGAAAAATAAAACATGTCCTACCTCTCATCCCAACATACTCCCTATGCCAAACCCTGCAACCTAATGCCCTGTCCTTTTATCATAGAATCACAGAATCCTCACAGTGCAGAAAAAGGCCATTCAGCCCATCTGGTCTGCACTGACTGTCTGAAAGGCACCCCACCAATGATTCTCATACCAACTTAGTGCGTACTTCCACTCAATAGCCCTATTACTTACATTTCTATATTGAAGAATACATCTCATTAATAAATATACATGTTGAAACTTATTGATGCTTCCAGACAGATCTTGATGCATTCTGACATCATGACAGACCTTAGTATTTGTTGATGCTTCTTAACAGGTCATGGCATTTGTCTTGGCAATTATTGACAGGTCTTCAACAGATTTTGACAAGTTGGACATAGCCAAGGGGTTTGTTAACCTTTTATTCCCAATCTTGTCCACAGTTAACAGTCCCAAAGGGCACTGAACAATTTGCTACCAGTAAGTCCCAGAACCCTACCCACTAGGTGTGCTGAGACCATATCCACGAGGTTATTTCTTCTCTTCAAACTGGGTATCTTGGCTATCCAAATGAAATACACTGAGGAGAGACCTGCTTTTGTCTAATCCCCAAACTCCATGCTCCAGATTCCAGGGACTCCAGAATCCAATTTTAGTGAAGGAGACCAGTCATTTAAATGCCTCTGAGAACTGTGCATGATTGACTTCTGGCCTGCCCAAAACCCCACCCAGGTGAAAATGGGAAAGGCTGGTTTTGAGAGGCAAAACTTGGGATTCCTGACATCTACTAATGTTTTCACCATGGTGTTTGCCATTGTGGCGAAAATTGTGCTGAGTGTTGCTAATTGCAACTGGGTAGTTATTCTAATGTTCTGAGTGGCCTTGCATTAGGATGAGTAGAGAAAAGGCTTCCTCACATTTGCTTACTAATGATATGTGGTTAAAGCATTAGTATGCAGAAACAAGGCCAGATTTTAATTCGGTGCTTACCAACTAATTGGATTGTAAATCTAAGTGAAAGATGCAGTTAGTTTTACTGGTAGAAAGGCAACATTCCCAGTGTAGTTCTGATGAGCCAGCCACGAGTAGGATGTGACATTGGTGTTAGTTTTACTGTGTTTGATCCTTTTTCAAAAATGTCTTCACATGCATCTTTCCAGCTGATACCAGGTGAGGGGGAAACTCCACTGGTAGAAGCGAAGTACATATTCCACCAGTCTGATGTGAGATAGGTTGCTAATGAGCATTCTGAAATAATTATTGCAATATTGAAATGTATTCAAAACAAGAATTAAATGTGAAATGTCACTGGCTTTTAATATACATATAATCTTTTGAACTGTATGGTCTTTTTTTAACATGCATTGTTCTTCATTAGTCCAGAATATTTCCTCTGCTAATTTATTGAAAATATTGCAAGATTAAATGTGCTCTTACTATTGACGCTGTTTTAAATGTCTGCATATTTTATTTAACAAGGACACCAGCAGAGAAATTTGGAAACAAGTGCAAGTGAACTGCACCAATAATGTGGATTACAGTTGCATTATTCTGGGTCTACATCCATCGAGAATATATGCAGTGAGAGCAGTTGTTACTTACAAATCAAACATTTCATGTGCATCTGCCATGAAAGTATTTGAGACAAAAGGTAGTAATGTGATAGAAATCCATTATTTTAAGCAAATTATGTTTTGATTTGATTTGTATGAGATGTCCTCAGGCAGTGTTTTTTCTTTATTTTGTACTGATGGATGTTTTGGAAATAAGCTAGCTTTTGAAAATGTTTCTTGAATAGCATTATTTCATTTACTTATTTCTGTGGTGAAGCATGAAGTATTATTAAAGGTTAGTAATATATTAGTTGCCTGAAATGTTTTTAGAAGGTTTTGAAGAATTTTAAAATTTTCAAATAACAAGTTTTGTCTAAGATTGCATAATTTAGACCAAAGTGTAAACTTATTTATTTCCAGCAATTAACTTGGACCAATGTTTTGAGAGATAGATGATCTAATTGTATCCCAGACAATCAGAAATAACTTGACAAATTCCTTAATTTTTGATGATTTTTGTTGTTCTCCACAACAGATCCAAGCCTTGTTCTTTTTCCCTAACTATTCTACTAAAATGGCTTTATTTACAAATTTACCAAAAGATAGTGCAATTGTGACATTTTTGTTGATGAAGTAATTACTTTACCACTTGGGGATCAATAATCTGCTAGAGAGGATTCTCCACTCCTTATTTCAACTGTCCAGTGTTAATATCCTTTTAAATCAAACAATGAAAATGAAAATTTTTCCTCAATCAAACACAGCTTTGACCAATACCAGTGCATTTGTTTTGTGACTAATGCAGATATGTATTTGTTTGATGAAAGTACTCCTTTTCCCATATGTAAATTCTCAGGCTACCTTAGTGGGCCTGAAGTTTCATTCTTCTTATTCAAATGTTAGTAATATAAACATTTCATGACCTCAACCTGTGGTCTTTTTCTTGATTTTACAGTAATTAAGTTATTTTTCTTATTTACATGGTCCTGCTGCCCATACATTATCTGCTGAAAAGTGTCTAGAAATGATGTTGTGAAAATGGTTTTGAGGAGCCCACAATTTCAGCTTTTGGTTATGTCTCTTATCTACACTGCATCTCAAAGATGATGACTCTGTTGCTACCTTTGGTGGTACAGTAAAAACTGGGAAAGCAATATAGTGAGTCTGTGGTCACTGCTCTATGGGAGTTGGTTACCTCAGGTGGCTGGACAGCAGGTTTGAAATGCACAGTGATGCCAGCAACGTTCAATTGCTAGATTGGCTGAGGTTCAACCTCTCCGCTCGTTTGATACCTGACAATCACGAGTTGTCTCTCTAGTGAGAGAACAGCACTATGGTCTGGTAGGACTATGGTGCCTTTACATTACTCTCTAACAGTATTTTTTTGCTCTAGGTTTCTGTATCACAGGACTGAATATTGACTTTATCCATACTTACTATTAAGGACCATAGTTTGTTGTATTTTTCTAAAAGCCCCAGAGCCTGCCCAGTTAAACCATATCAGGACAAAAGTGTTATAAAATTGCACATTTCTAGATTAGACATTTAGATGAATAATGTTGCCTTTAGCACCTTTAACGGTGGATTATTTAGGAATATAATTGTGACTGCTTTTGTCTTTTCTTTCATATTGTTAACAGTGTGCTTGTTCTTTGTTTATAGCTGGTGTACCAGGTAAACCAGGTACACCGTATACCGTTCATGATGTTATTAACTGGATTAAAGCAGATGATAATGGGAATAATATAACGTACTACATTCTGCAGGTGCAGTAAGTGCATAATCATTAGAATGAGGGGAAACAATTACTTTTGGGATAAATCTGTTTGTACACAATCCTCTTTAATATTATGAAGCAGTGCATCATGAAAGTGATGCAAAATTACGCAAACTGAAACCTCCAAAGTGAATAAATATTTTCCAAAAAATATTGGGTCGGACTTTCCAAGTAAAGGCAATTTTGTCACTCAGGCTCTTTTTGTTTGTGAAAGAAGGCCTCTTCCTGTATCTGAGAGGCGATTTCAATTAGAGCTCCCACAGAAATGCTGAGTTGTACTTTTGTTCTGATGGTTATTTTGTAACACAGAACTGTCAGAGGAAAGCAGCCCATGCTCCCTTTTCACAGGTAGCCACAGTACTCTCAAATGTAAAGGTCCTCACTATTCACTGTCACTTTGACAGCTCCTGTCAAAAAAGTCCATAAAGTATGTTGTTAGGGTGTTGGGAGCACTAGATGGGTATGGGGGGGTTGGGGTTGTAGGATGCCAGCTGAGTGGGAATAATATGTCAGCTTGCCAGCTGTGTAATTTTTCAATGAGGGAGGGAAAGATGCTAGCTGGATAGGGTGCCAGATGAGTTGGGAGAAGGACACATGTTCAAAGGACACCAAGTGGGAAGATGCTAGGGTGCCAGGGAGCAAGTTAGCAAGGTTAGTGATGCAGCTTTTTGGGTATACCAGGGTGGTTGGAAGAAATCAGGTCTGGCGGCAAGTGGAAGGGTTTGTGTTGGGGTATTTGGATTTGGTGGCAGTGGGGTTAGGCGGTCAGATTGGGTCTGATGGGGGTGGCACAATCTAATTGGCATTGGGAATTGGGATGTGTCTGATGGCGCATGTCATTTTCTTTTCTAAATATACCAGATAAAGTAAGTTCCCAATGGCCATAGTATAACACTTTCCTAAGATAACCTAGTCAAAGCGACCTTTCAAGAAATGATTATTATAGTGCAATAGAAATGAGAGTGCGTGGGGAGGGGAAAGGTTTTGAATTTGGAGACAAGTTCTATTGTGTTAGGGTAAAGGGAATTTTACATCTCACTCTGCGTTCTTGACTAGAAAGTGTTTGATACTCATTGTTTGTCATATGATACACGGGCAATCATTTCCTCATCGTTGAGTTTCAAAAGATTCCACTGCTTATCCAAGTTGCAATTAATATTTCAGCCTCACCAATGGGGTAAATTTTGAAGTTTCTTGCTAGACAATGTGCAACTGGCAACCAAGTAACCTTGCCAACACAGCAAGGTGCATAAAATACAGCACCAAAATGAAGACCCAAATTATCTTTGGTCTAGCATCCCACACTGAAGAGTTAGTACCTGGGGTTAAGCAATACCAATATATTGATATCTGGAATTCTCTTCCAGAGAGAAGTGGAGGCTGTCTTTTGAATTTATTTATAGCTGAGTTACATAGTTCTTTTAACCTGCAAGGGAAACTGTGGTTAGGGGATCTGGAGCGAGGAGCAAACAGAAAATGGAGTTGAAACTACAATCAATTAGATCTTATTGAATGCCTAAAGGGGCTGATGGGCCTATTCCTGTTCCTATTTCCAATGATCCTCTGATCTTGCAAACATTTGCAGATGAAGGAACGGAAATTGTAGAATGATAGCTGAATTAGACAACTTTGTTTCATCAGTAAACACCGATTTAATGTGTTAACTTCAGTTAGTTTACCATAATTTAACTTGAAGCAAAAGTGAATACAATGATTTTATGATCTTTCCCTTTTCTCACCAAGAAAACTAGCTGGAAAAGGAAATGTTCCCAATCTTGAAGCAGCCTAGGATCAAAGGGCCAACCTACAGTACTTACTTTTCAAAGTCTAGCCAAAGAGTGCCAACTTCAACTTCAAACGTGCTAGATAATTATTTTTTACTGTACCACACAGTCATATGAAGTGGTGTTGAGCAGTTTTGTTTTGTTCAAAGGATGTGAACATCGCTGGCTAAGCTGGAATTTGTTGACCATCCCTAACTGACCTAGAGATAGTGGTGGTGAGCTGCCATCTTGAACCACGTGCAGTTCTTTGAGTATAGGGTGACCTGTGCTGCTTCTGGCTTTGTTGTCCTCCACGTTTCAACAGAGATGAATGGATGAGAAGTGCTAATTCCTCTCACAATTCCAATGATGCTCATTATAATACACCCACCTTAACTGAGGGCAACCCAGTTCCTTGAATTACCCTGGAATTATGTGATCATTATGATGCAATTTGAAAATGCACACGGATTTTGAAAGCTGGCTTTCATGGTAGATCTAATTCAGATTTTCAATAGATGGAGGTTTAAAAAAAAATTCTTATTTTAAACAGGAATTTCAAAAATGAAACAAGGCTGCAGAACTTCAACAACTCGGATGAATGGATCACTGTCTATCAGGGTTCCTGCGGTAGTAATATCTGTACTTGGCGTAATCAGCACTTGAGTGGGTTTTATCATGTGAGAGTTGTAGCAGTTAATGGCATCGGCATGGGTGAATTCAGTGAGACAAGTGGCGAAATCATCATGAAACTCAATGGTGAGAAATAACACTGTATTTTAGATTATAGATTGTATAAAAAAGATTTTCCAAATTAATAAATCATCAAATAAATCAGATGTTTGTTGATTGTTAAATGATGCAAAACTTTATTTTTTTTGTCCTTAGAGTGGTTCTTGAGATTTTGAGGGCTGCTTGTGATTTTTAAGGGCTACATTTTCATTCTCACTAATTCCTTTATTTAAGTGATGCAGTTGAATAATAATGACACCTTCTGTATTTGTGTTAACTTGAGGTATTTGGATTTAAACAGAATTTACGCATCAGAAGAATTTGTAAATATATTAATATCCTCAAAATTACCAATCCTTTATTAAACCTAAAGTCACAACACACAATGCATTAATTTCTTAGATTTCACAGTAATTAAATTGGGACAAGACAAATGCACCTTATCTTCCTCCTCCTCCCATTTTTGAGCTCCCTCTCTCTCCCTCCCCTTGCAACCTTCCAATCTTATATTTCCCCTTGTAGTCCCTCTTGCACACACCCCCAGTCTTGCAGCCTCCATATCTCTCCCCTTATCATTATGGTCTGCTCTCACTTCTATCCTCCCATTGTCACTCTCTCCCTCCACAACCTCAATCTCTCTCACTTTCCTACTTGAAGCCTCTGTGTGTCTCTTCCATTTCAACCCCTGAAACTACCCCCTGTACTACCCCGACCCCTGCAGCCTTTTCCTGTACTGCTCCTGATTCTTTCAACCTCACTCTCTATCCATCTTCCACATTTACCCCTGCAGCCCACTCCTTTCTTCCCACACCATACTCTGCAGCCTCCCAGTTTTCTCTTCTGCCCCAGATCACTGCAACTTTCTCTTTCATCCCACACCCCTAAGCTTGCAATGTCTGCCTTTCTCCCACTTTCCTGTCTCACTCTTCTCACCACCTTGCCTTAACCCTACAGGCTCTTCTGTGTCTCTGTCTCTGTTTCTATCTCCACCCCTTTCTATCAATCAATCATCTCATCCTCCAACTGCGCCTCCCCACTATCATCTCTCCAACCTCCCCCGCCCCCACCATCGTCTCTCCACCTGCCCCCCCCACCACCACCGTCTCCCCAATCTACCCCCCAACACCATCATCTCTCCAACCTCCCCCCACCACACCATCGTCTCTCCAACCTCCCCCCACCACACCATCGTCTCTCCAACCTACCCCCCAACAGCATCATCTCTCCAATCTCCCCCC